CGGCGAAAAAGCGTTGATCTCTCTCAAAAGTCGTTTTCTTGTACCTCGAAACAACTTTTCGCCATACATTTCCTTCTAGCGACTAGCAGTGTTTGCCCCCTGACGATCCCAGAGTTCTTCGCGCAAACACGGGTATCCGATTACTGGCAACTCATTCGTTATTGTATTTTTATTAAATTAATTTTTATTTTGAATATAGATAGGCCTTCGTTATGCTGCTGAAGATAATTTAGGTGGGATATATACTTACAATGTGTTAACGGAGGGAAGATTTTGGAAAGAGTGTTCATCCACATGGAGAAGGATATTAAAACTCATGTCGCTGAAAACACGGAGAAGACAAAGAAAATAAGGTAGTTATTTGAAATGACAAGATTTTTGAGCCACATTTTAGGTACCCATTATTTTTGAAAATTAAGTACGTGAAACTTCATTTCTTGTAAACATCGTACAGCTCAAAACGGAATGCTGGTTACAACAATCCTTAAAACTAAACACGTAACACAACCCTCTCTAAATATCATCATCCAGAGATAAAGAGCAAGTTAAAATTAGACCTTGGTTTTTATATGATTTACATGGGTCACATGGATAGAATCTCCTAGATATACTCTCTTGTAACAACTAATGTTGCTCAAAGAAGGCATTTTTTGTGGCTCTTTGCAAAGACATCGCACGGCAAGTTTGGAAGTTTTGGTTTTGCATTCAGTTGGATGAGAAGAAAACAAAAAAACAAATACTAACATGTACTCTAGTTTTGTGAGATTTGTGAAATCCATCTCTCGTAGCTGGGATATCCGGTTTTTTTGGAAAAACCTGGTAAAACAAGTCAAAACACAATAAATATGAAACATTAATTGCGACTAATTTTAGCAATAATGGAAGAATCCTAACAGAAACAAATGCACTTTGAGTATCAAGTACAAGAACTGGCATTCATGACTAAATGATTGATCCTGATCATTTTTTGTGTGGTAACTTTATTCGCGCGAATGAGCAAATCGCAACATACACTGCTCCAGTGTTGGAAGGAAGTTTGCTCGGCACGGTGACCAAGTCTTCTCCGGTTACCAGAATCGTTTTTTCTGGACCTTCATCTAACTCTTCGCACTTGCAGCTTGATGGACATCCTAGAAAAAAAGTAGACATCAGTCAAGTCCTTGAGAACATTTTTAGCAAACCTCAGTCTAATTTACAATTTCAACAACCAACTAGGTGACTTAACATTAATCTCATCCTAGGAACTAACTCTTGAAGAAATGCCCAACTAAGAATACCTTAAAGTAAACGTTTTCGATTTTGAAGATCCTCTTCAGAGTGGGAAAATGTTTTACGGTAGATGGCTGTTTACGTACTACACAAGCACTGTAGTGTTTACCTTGCTGACGTGAACAAGATGCAGCCAGATCATCAGAAGCTGGAGAAAACAAAACAACAACAATAAAACATGCGTGAATGATACTATCAGAGATAAGTATAAATCTACTAGCGTTCTATCACGAATGCTGTTCCCTGATTGGCTACGCTACTCACTATCTATTCTGTGATAGATAGTGAGTAGCGTAGCAGCGTGCGCTTGTTAACTAAATGACGGCCACTTCTTTGCCTTTTCGAGGTAACACTGTGGAGGATTTTTATAAAATTTTGAACGACTAGTAGATTTGCACTAAAACAATTAGATTATTCGCTCTCGATTTCTATGCGTGATAGTTGACTCGGGCTGCGCTCTCGTTAACTATCACGCGATAGAAATCTCGAGCTCATAATCTAATTCTTTTAATAGGAATCACTTCGAAGTTCATCAGAAATACTCTGCCACGGTGACGCGTAGTACTTTCAACTCTCTTCTCGGTGTCTGGAAATGTGGTCAATCAATCAAATTTATTTAGAGAGGGTGACACATAGCGTAGTAGTGTGCGTGGTCAAACACGGTCTTTCGTGTTTGATATATTACGTCATGTGTGCGTCATTTACTGCTTCAAGTAGGTCTTGTAATACATTATTACGAGAGACAGATATCAAACAGACTGTGTCACAGCTCAGTTTAGTCTACTTTATCAAGTTTTGCCAAATACTCGCTATGAAACTTAATGTTAGCTAAGAAATTACTACTACGGATCTAAATGACAAAATCATAGGCTTTTTTTAGAAACCATGTCTCCCGAGCGTTGTTACTATAGGTGACAAACAAACGAGATCAACTTTGGAAACTGTTCAGGTTGACACTTTTTCAAAAACCCCTCCCGCAATCGTTGTTAATTTTTTCCAAACTTTGTCCATCCGTACCTTCCTTTGTTTCACTTGTGTTAATGAAATGTTCCTTCACTGTTTTAAGTAGTTATTTTTATACTTCACTCAATTTAACTTACGTCTAAGTTTGGCTAAAATCCCCGACACATTTCCTTTAAAGCAAAAATCAACATCTGAAAAAGTAAACGCACTACAACAAGCGACTTTCACATTTTGGCGGTATCGTTGGATGTTTAACATGATTTACCCC